CAGTGGTTACTCTGCTTTCGCGTACGCTGAAGACGAGTTTTCGAGATCCATTAGGGATGACGACCTCGTGGATCGAAGCGGTCTTGATGGGTGTAGTTGTCGGATTGGTGTTTTTGCAACTGCCGGATTCGATAGCTGGTATTCGCTCGCGGCAAGCAGCTCTATATACTGCAGTTGGACTTCAAGGCTACTTGATGGTCATGTATGAGGTTTACCGTTTGACTGTCGTTGAAATGCCTGTGTTCGATCGAGAGCATGGGGAAGGAGTTGTTGGAGTTTTGCCCTGGATTCTGAGCTATCGCCTTGCTCATCTATTCTTGGAGGACATGATCGTCCCACTCATTTTCTCCACCATATCTTACTTCATGATTGGATTCACACCCTCGGTCTCACGATTCTTCTTCTACTTTGCGATCGGTCTGCTCAATCACTATGCTTCCGTATTATTTGCAGGACTGTCATCTGCGATTTCCCGGAATTTTGCAACTGCAACTCTAATTGCAAACTTGGCGTTTACAGTCTATACCTTCGCTTGTGGATTTTTCATCCAAGGCAATTCTATACCCGTATATCTGCGCTGGATGAAGTGGATATCTCACCTAGTGCGTTTATCTCGCACTACTCTCATAGTTGGCCTAATGTTCCATTTAGTCCTATGCGTTCACTGCATTGGTCGATAACGAATTTAAGGACCAGTTTTTTGACTGCCCGTCCGGCGACGCAACGACTGATCCCAACTGCATCACCTACCGTGGTGACTTTATCATAGAGTCTCTCGCTGTTCCGCGGAAGGACTGGACGACCATCCCTGTGGTAGCTATGCTTGGCTTTGCCATTCTCTATCTCATCCTTCAGATCCTCCTCTTGTTCACGATGAAGGTCGACATCACCATACTGGAGACCAAACGCGCGGCCGATGAACCCAAGCAGAAGAACATCAAAGTCATCAGCCGGGCAGCTAACGCGGTGGCGGGTGTAAACATCGATCTTATAGATTACACTCTACAGATCCGTACACGGGGAGGAAAAAGCCTTGAAATCCTGCAAGGCATCAATACGTGCTTTGAAGCAAGCAAAGTCAACGTCATTCTCGGTCCTTCAGGGAGCGGGAAGTCCTCATTGCTGAACTTGATGGCACAACGACTCCAGTCCACTCTAAGGACAACATACGTCGCAGAAGGAGATCTAGCGCTGAATGGCGTTGTTGCAAGTGGAGAGGTTGTCCGCGCGCTTTGTTCGTATGTGATGCAGGATGATGCCGCACTCCTTCCGTATCTCACAGTTCGGGAGACACTCCGATTTTCTGCCGGGTTGCGACTGCCAGGGTGGATGTCGAAGGAGGAGAAGAGGCAGAAGGCGGACGAAGTGATGTATAAGATGGGGTTGAAGGACTGCGCGGATACTTTGGTTGGGAGCGAGCTTTCGAAGGGTATCTCGGGTGGGGAGAAGAGAAGAGTCAGTATTGCTATCCAGGTGCTCACGGAGCCTCAGGTGTTAATGTAAGTTTTTTGTTGTCCATTTCTTTCTTTTTTTTGAACGTGTTGTCTGCAGGCTTGATGAACCCACCTCGGGACTGGACGCTTTTACGGCTGCTTCGATCATGGATGTTCTGCGGCAACTAGCCGAGGAAGGCCGGACCATTATTACGACGTTGCACCAGAGCTCATCTGAGCTGTTCAAGCATTTCGGCAATGTCCTCCTTTTAACCAAGGGAGGAAGGGTGGCATACTCAGGACCTGCATGCGATATGCTGGACTACATGGCGTCCGTTGGCTTCAAGTGCCCCTTGACAATGAACCCCGCCGACTTTGCTCTTGATGTGGTCTCTGTAGATTTGCGCGAGGCCGAACAAGAGGAACTCAGCCGGGCCAAAGTGGATAGGCTCGTCGAGGCATTCCGAGAGCACGCTCCCCAGGTCAAAAATCACAAGCCATCAGGGCTCCCCCTGGATTTGAAGAAGTATGAAAAGAAGATGTCCCCGCTTACAACATCGTTACCCATACTTCTGAGGCGTGGATATCTGGCGTTCATTCGTCAGACGACAGTCCCGGAAGCGAGGTTTGGGAACGTTCTTGGACTTGGGGTACGTGTTTCGGTGCCATCGACGTTTATATAGCGTTCTAATGCGTAGGAAAGATCGTTTCAAGTCTCTTCTTTTCTCCCATTGGGCACAACTATATCAGCATACAGAATCGCGTTGGCTGTATCCAGGAGATCCTTCCGTGTAAGCTCATCTCTGATCTATCTGTTGGTGGGACTCCATTTACAACTATGATATAGTATATTTCGTCGGAATGTTGCAGAATATTGCAGTCTATCCTGTCGAAAGGGACATTTTTTACAGGGTACCATCTATCATTCTTTGATGAGAACATGAGCTGAAATTCTTTGTAGGAATACGACGATGGAGCATACTCTATTGAGTCATTCTTCATCGCATATCTTTTGTTAGAATTGCCTTGCGAGATTATATGTTCCCTGATGTTTTCTGCGTTAACTGCTATCGCGACCGATCTCCGGCGGACAGTCAGTATGTTCTTCGTTGTATCTCTAAACGCCCTATGCATCGTCAACACCGGGGAATCACTCGGCATCTTATTCAACACTCTACTTGATGAAAACACAGGGCTTGCGCTTAATGTGACTAACGTCATTCTGTCAGTCGCGATGTTTATGGCAGGTACATACATTCATCCTTTATTGTCGTCTTCTGCTCGTTGTTTAAGCATCTTTGGAGGTCTAATGAGCTTGGACATGCCGGCGTTTTTGAAAGGGTTGAACAAGCTCTCGCCCTTAGGCTACGCGGTGCGGAATATCATGCCATATGCGTTCCGTGGGCAGGTGTTTCAATGCGACGATAATCAACGGCTTGCCGATGGTACGTGTGCTGTGAGTTCCGGGGAGCAGGTATTAGATATGTTCGAGCTGGGAGGCATCAACGCACAGCTTAATCTCGGTGCTATTGTTGTCGCGATGGTGTTGTATCGTCTTCTAGCGTATGCAGTGTTGAAGTTGGTGAAAGCGAAGTTTAAAGTGGAAAGACGGCCCAAGTCGAGGATGTAGTTTATGCCCTGTTATAGGATATTCCTACTTTACTACATAATGACTATGTCCTGCAAAGCATGTTTGTAGACTCTACTGCACTGGAGAGTGAAAACGGATATCTTTTCACAAATCATGTCACCCTGAGATAGTTCATAATTCTCATAATTAATGCGTAATAACGTGAGACCTATTTAAGCGGCGGTAGGAGGGCAACATATTGGAAATGATCTGCCGACCAAGTCAGCCACGTTCCTCTGCTTCCGACCACGATGATCTACCTCTTCGCATCTAGCTCGCCGCATCAAGCAACGGAGAACCGCGTTACTAGACGACTGGATGTTTTCGCCTTGGACACGAACTATACAGACGCAGCACTCAGTTTTGTTCAATGTCGGCCTCGCACTACCATTCTCCACCTTCGCTGCTGGGTTACCTGCAAGTGTTATTCTGGCGTGTTGCTCACCAACCTGAGGTCGAGTGCGGCGACTCCTTGATTTCGCGCATCTTCTCGTTCATGCACGTAACAATGCCTTCCTTTCGGTCTCAGTCGCGGAGCTCAACGGAGCAGTGACATGCGACTTTTCCGCGACGCGACGTTTATTCTCAGCCACGCACGAGCTACAAATCACATACAACAATCAAGGGAGCTTGGTCCGTGGGATGCAGAATAACTAACGGCAGGCACCTTCCCCGCTGCTTTAGGGTCAAGCACCGCATATACCCAGCATTTATGACCGATTGGGGTGTCTTATATTCTTCCATATTTCTGCGTGAAATGCCGGACAACATGAGGTGCTGCGATACGCATAGCTTTGTATCGTGAGATTCCTCGGACTCGGACTCGGACAGGTACGTCCTCCGGTCTAGTTTGAACCCTACACTGATCCTATAGTCTCATTAACTGTATACTTCGTACAATACCTCGCCCCAGATACTCGTTCATCACGTTCGTGGCAGAATTAGATTCTCCCACTCGTCGTCATCCTCCCCATTTGAAAAGGGATCCCGCAGGCGTGATGTCACGGCTCCAGGCCTCGTGCACACCTATTAATAGGCGAGCGCTCGCTATATATAAGGCCACCTACTTCCGCCCCGTTTTTCCCTCATCTTCATCACCATGACCGCCCCGCCCTCTGCAAATGCCAAGGTTCCCACCGACTCCCAGCCACAAGCTGCGGGTGGAATGAGTATGTACTCTCTGCCTTCTTGTGTCTTGCCTACCTAGTTCTTTTGCCAGACATTACCAACCCCCCAGCACAGACCCAGACTCAGACCCATGAGTGCGAGCACAAGAGACACGCTATGCGTCTGCGTGGAGGAGGTGCAGGAAAGGTCCGCTCGCTTCCCAGCATTCATCTATTCAACGCTGCTCACCTCGTGCACAACGCAGGACTGCTTCCTCGGACTCATTGGTTGCTTCCTTTGTTTCGGTAAGACCTTCATAGCTCCGCCGCAATCAGCATCAACTTACCTCGTACTCCTTTGTAGAATGCTGTGAAGTAAGTTCGATTACTCGTCGCACTCTTCGAATTATTGATTCCTCGCGCTCTTAGGGATGCTGCGATTGTGTCGCCGATATCATCTGTGAGTAGATTATTTTTGTTATCCGTTGTATGTGTGACGAACTTGTTTCAGGCTGCCCCTGCGAGATGATCTGTTAGTCAGTGATGTTTGTGTACATTATCTTTTCAATGAACCCTTTGTGAATACGCGTACGGCTGTGATTTGTATAGCCCAAGCGAGATGATTTTGCCTGTCACGCGAGAAGAGCAGATGTAAAATTACTGCCGCCCTCCACAGTATTAAGAGGTAAATGAACGATAAGCTCACTGAGCCGCATTAGGATTAAAGAAACGGACAGAATGTTTTCGACTCCGACATAATTGGGACTAAAACAAGTACACGAGTGGGCCTAAAAAGGAAGAAAAAGATAAATTCTTGCTTATGTAGCAAAATGCTCGCCGCAAGGATCGAACTTGCGACCTCGAGATCAAGATGATATAATCATCCGCATAGACTAATATGAGACTCGCGCTCTAACCAACTGAGCCAGGCAAGCTTATATTCACTGTGTCATACATAACTAATATCAGCATTCAGCAGGATCATATGAATTTGGCAACTGGGCTTCTTCCGTAGCTCAGGAGCCTTCGCTTCGACCTGTATTGCCATCTTAATCACCCTTCGAGTATACCATATCTCCCTTGCAAGTACGGACAGTAGATTAACCTACGAATTTCACCCCATACTTTACCGAACGCACCGAAAGACGTGTCCTCCATAACGATTTCAACAATCCAGATACCCTTCCCTTTTGGATCTCACCCAGAACATTCCTCGTCGAGTCTCGAGGATGTGGATTCGAAGACCACTTCAATGGACACAGGAAGATACCTAGGCTTACTAGTGAGTTACTACAGGCCGTCGCATCTGAAAGGTGAAAGACTCGGAGATGGCAGGTAAATCTTCCGTTTGGCCCCCTGCGTTGGTGCTTTTTCTTAGATATGTACTACCAATAGATTAGTTCTTATCCGAAGGCCGAACGACTCAAGACCGTCACCCTCTCGTTCTGCACAGCTCGATGTACAGGCTTGTCACCCTTCTACCGTTGGCCGTCACCGCTGCTTTCATTACCGAATTCTAGAGTGATCTGTTTTGCTGCCGTTCGCTTCGAAGTTCGGAATAGCGGATCTTCATGCATATTTAGGGGACTGTTTTCCTGGCGCAGAGTTCATGTGAAGAATTAAGCACCTCAGAATGTAAGTGATAATATTAGGGTTAGAAGTATTACTGGTAGAAGCAGACGCCGACTTGAGATTATCTCTGGAGACTCTTAAAGAATGTCCGTGGCGTATGTCAAGCTCATTTTCTGCTCAGCAGCCACGACAGAAAATCAAACCCGCTCACCTTGCCCGCCTCCGGTTTTGCAGTGTCTTCGACGACGCAACACTAGGGTGCCGAGGTACCCCGCATCCATTGAGCACGTCGTTTACTTTGTCCCCGAAACCACACATCCCTCCCCTTTTCTCATTTCTCGTTGCAATCGTTCTTTTGTCCAAGCAATAGCATCTTCTGCCGTCGAGCACTACCAATATTTTTGTGATGAAGTTCGTGTTCGATCTTCTACTGGAAGGCCACGATTGCCAGGATAACGTTGGTGTGGCTATACCTAGGCTGTGAGTAGGATGCGAAGAGACAGGTCATAGCTTTTGTGCTCAAGACCTACTGCCAGGCGCCAGAGCTGAGGATGGTCCCATCCCGCGATCGAGCCGTCCCTATTCATTTCGAGGACTTTCGGTGATAACTTCTTTAGTAATGATTTTTTCTCTTCAGGCCGGTGTCGGATCCAAGCTACCCCCGCTTTTAGGATAGTGTTCGCTAAATTAATTCAAATAATTCAATCTCTGACTTTTACGGAGGATTAAACAGCGCCCAAAGCTCGAATTGAGTATCATTTCAATAAAACACCGTCTTCAATCAGCTCATATTTTCGTTAGCTATAACGGGATAATCCGAGCCGACTTGGGTAACACTCGGGACAAATGCTAATAGTAAGGATTAAATTGAGAGCACAAGTAGTAAGCGCCCAAAGCACCTGACAAGCTGGCAAATAGCCGGCGCCGTGATCCCCGATTCTTTCCGAAGGATGAGGAAACGACAGAGGGTTATAGAAAAACGTAACTGGTCGTGAGTAGTGCCAAACTGTCTGGACAGGGGCTATACTCCGGGTTAGCTTACAAATCTGTAGTGATTGGCGAGCATCCGGGACGCTTCGGCTACTATGCCGGCTGATTGCCATTGTGGCTGTCTTTCCGACTTCTCCCTATTGGTCTGTATCATTCTCATTGCTAACTCATCAAAACCGAGCTCGACGTCTTTTTTGTACCAGGACTGACCGGGACCGACGACTCCTCACAAAACCCTTCTCACTCTGAGTGCCAGACTTTCTGGTATGAGGATTCAACTTTCAAATCCATTATTACCGCTTGGTGCTCACAAGGGAAACAACCTCCACCCATTGACGATGCTGTAGCTTATAATAATTTGGCCCGACAATCTTTTATTGATAAATTGTGCTTCCCCTGAGTCCCTGAGTCCCACTATTACTTGTTAGAATTGCGGGGCCATTCTCAAACGAAGTGAGTGGCAAATTGGGATTACATCTGGGGCAAACGCGACATGGGGACTGACTATGAAATATTCTAGCTTTATATACTACGAAATCCCCTCGGAAATAAGTCAACATGTAAATAGTAGATCACTACGAGAACCGACGGCGACTAACTGTCTGCCATGAGAAGCTCGCACATCTCACATTACTTACCTCGTAGCTGCCTGAGGTTGCGGGGGAAAATGTGAGCTGGTGGCAGCTGTGCTGCCACCGAGCGAACTTTTTCCCCGCAACCAACCAGTGGATCAGATTCATGCATGTCTACAATATACAGTTTTGATTTTTTCAAGCATGTCTGAACTCCGTTAAGTGAGAAAATCTTATATCGTGCAAGGTAGCGACTTATTTAGTTATTTTTTGAAAATGAATCCAAGAAAAGGAAAGAATCGGGGACCCGGCATCCGCCGCTACTGGATTATCAATAGGACTCGAGCTGTGAATTGCGTGCTCCCTCCACCGACCGAGCGACGTATCGTTCATTCCTTTCAAAACGAGTGGTAACAAGAATACTGTCTAAGGCAATCGCTTTGGAGCGGCATGATGAACGGATTGGACGGTGTTGTTGAACTTGTAAAGGTGAGTTACCCAGCGAGCAAGCAGGAGGGAAGTTACTGATATATATTTAGTATCTTTCTCTCCCAGAAGTCACCATCTCTGCCTTCACTGAGACGGGCCGAGAAGAATCTTCGATCATCGTTCCATTGCAACGAGCGTACACTGGAAGAAAGCCCGTGATATCTTCCCGCCTTGCCGACACTCTTTGTACTACCCTCGGCATTCAGGGCCTCTTGGATCAACTCAACACCACACTCGGAACAACGTACAGTCTGGACAATCCATCTCTCTCCTCCCTTCTTGAAGACTGTCTCACAAACGACTACGACTTTGGAATGGTATATAGCCGCCTTCGCGTCATATGGTACACCAACGACTGGAGCACGATACAAGATGTACCTTGGAGACGAGATGAGAAAGCCTGGGAGCGGTGACAAGAAGTACTCGTTGGTAACCGGATCGTTGAACCACGTTTGCCACCTCGACGTGTATGGGATCTGTGTAGCAATCGGGTGGTGCTACTGTGGTTCTGCATGTGGCCTCAGCCGATATCCCATGCGTGGGTGGATGAGAAGGATCGTGCCGTTGTGTGGACACCCATCAACGGATACGAATGGCCCGTTCCTATACCAATGGGTGTCGACCTCAACCTGATCCGCATCGAGATGCTCAATCTCGGATTGGAGTACGCATGGTTGGACGTTCTCTGTTTGAGACAGATGGGTGGACAAGCGGAGAACGTGCGGATAGAGGAGTGGAAAGTAGACGTGCCCACCATCGGACAAGTCTATCAACAGAACAATGTGGTGTGTTACTTGAGTGGGTTGGGTCGGGCTTTGACATTAAAGGAGGGCGACCTAGAGAGTGATCAGTACTGGTTTAGACGTGCTTGGACACTACAGGAGGTCGGCGAGAACAGGGTGATTGCCGGGGACACGCCAGACGGACCACTGCATGCCGAGCGTAAGGACGGGGAGTATGACACTGAGCTGTTGACTAGATTTCACGAGCTGCTGCAGTCTACGCATCAAAGATTGTTTGAGGTGCGTGAGGCACTGGAGGAGATGCGGAAACGAGTGTCGACGAACCCAGTGGACAAGATTGCAGGACTGGCATTTATGATGTGGTCCGAGTCAATACCCCCATACTACGAGAGCGAGTCTCTCGAGGAGGCATGGACAGCACTCATGAATACGATGGGTGATGATTATCGGGGGGAGTTGTTCTTCTTGTGTCCTGAACCGGGAAACGCAGGCAAAAAATGGCGGCCATCGTGGGACCAGGTTATGGCGAAGCCTCTGCCTGCATATCATGTTTACTCCCGCATCCGTATTGATCGAGATGAGAAACATGATGAAGACTCGTGCGATGCTGTGCTGTGCATTGAGGGGTTGGTGCGGGGGTTGGCTGTTGTGGAAGAGGGTGATCGGCATGGAGAGTTGATTATCAAAGGCGAGGGTGGGACAGAACATGGATTCGAGATCACGGCTTCCCACTCGCATGCGATACCTGAAGACACTTATACGATGATTTGCACCTGCGAAGTTCCAATTAAGAGTTCACTGGGCTGTGGTTGGGTTGTCGGGCGAAGCATGCCAGGGGGAAAGTTCAAGAAAGTGTCGGTGCTGGAAATCTCTCTTGAAGAACAGGGCAGGTTGGATGGTCTGGGTATTACTGAAAACTGTCGGTATATTCTTTTTTGAGCGGGTACACACTACGTAGTTTTCTCAACTTGTTGTCCTGATGAATGTTTGCACCTTGGCAACATTAAATGCAAACTCCAGTTCAACAGCTAGGTCCCTCCTCACCGTCAGGCGCTTGGTAATCGATATCTGTTGCATTGAAGATTCGCCGATAATCCAGACACTTGCGTGCAAACATTATACCGCATTTGCATAATTTGCTCGACGTTATCCTCGCTGTACAGTTCGGTGCCGACGGTGGGGACGCAATCAAGAAGACGAACGAGTAATGCACGGGTACTGTGGAAAGCTGTTCGTCAAATGCAAGCCGTGCCTTGATTAAAAGCCGTAAGAGCCAGCTCATTTTCTAAGGCACAATTCAGAACGAGAAGCATTCAGTGCCGAGCGTGTGAACCTCGTCTTTGAAGGTGCCCTATATGGTGTTCTTATTAGTGCACACATTTTGATCGAAGAAGTACACGTACATCCGGAATGATTTCGACCTCCTCGCACCCGTAGGTGGTGGTTTTGTTGTCACTCAGCACCTGAAGCAGGCGCAGACGCATCCCCCTTGCGCCGGAGTATACGATACTACCTGAGCAGAGTATACGATACTACCTGAGCAGGACTATATGGACCAGCTTGTTCAGG